CCCCCCCCCCCCCCGGACGATTTCCACCCGGACGACCCCCCCCCCCAAAGAATATATATTTATATACAAATATAAAGTAAAGAATACAAAGTTCAAATCTTTTCATCCATTTTCTGAATATTTCTTAGTGTGATGATGCAACTCAAGGATAGATAATATTAATTTTATTAAAAAAATTATTTTCATGGAGTACAAGTACATAAATTTTTTTTAGATAGAAGTACAGAACATATGAAAAATATAATCAAAATATATGTCCAGGTAAAGGAGGGGTAAACAGATGATCTCACTCAAACAGGTAAGGGCTCTTTACACTGGACGGCGTCCTTTCTGCGTCCCTTCTGCGTCCAAAAATGTGGTCAGGACGCTTAACGGTCGCCAAAGCAATTGAATCGTGTCTCAGTGTAAAGGCGTGTCTGCGTCCCTTGTGCGTCTTTGGAACGACCGAATCTTGATTTTACCTGTAAAACTGCGAGCAACCTGCCTGCCTCCACTGTACGTCCCCTGTGCAACCCAAGGCGTCCATTGCGATGTTTGAGCGACCATTGAGCATTCTTGCTGTGTTCTCTGTACCTTCATCTGCGATCAATGGCGTCTATTCTACGATTTTTCTGCACCCTGCTTGACCGATGAGCGTTGTTTGGGCGTCCTTCTCTATATTCTAAATAATTTTTTCATCGTTTCTAACCAGGTCATCCAATAAGGAACATTTCCAGTATACAAAACAAATAAATGGGAATAAACGCTTTAAACTATAGTGATGCAAGGTCTGCATGGACTGATAATCAGCCAGATGCTCATTGTTATCCTTATATGAAGGGTGGACAGGCGCCGAAAACGAGAAAGCGTGACTGACACAACATAGAATATTTGAACCCGTTTTCAAAAGACGCATTCTGCAAAAAGTTCTGGCAATTAATGCATCTTGTAAAAAAAAAGGCAAAATATTTGTTTTATAATAAGCTAAAAAATGGATGGTTTCATGATTTTTAGGGATAAAAACAGTCGGAGGCTGATATGAGACCACTGTTGCCATTAGAATTCCTGTCTGGTGAAAAATACATCAGCACGGCGCCGTTTGCGAGTGAAAAAAAAAATGTTTTACGTGCCGAACACTGGACGATCTTTGAGTTTTCATTCTGCAACCAAAGCGATGCTTGTGCCTCCTTTCTGCGACCGCGGCGATGCTTGTGCGTCCTCTCTGCGACTACGTCGATGCTTGTCCGTCCTTTCTGCGTCCATTGAGCGACCATTCTCCATCGCGTTCTCTCTGCGATTGTTTTGAACATGCTCAAAACTTCGCGGCGTCCATGGCGTCCTCGGCGATGCTTGAACGTTCTTTGTGCGACCTTGGCGATCACTGTGTGTTCTTTGAGCGTCCGACGGCGTCCTGACCAGTTTCATGGTCGCACAAAGGACGCAGAAAGGACGCCGTCCAGTGTAAAGGGGGTTTTAACCCTTTGATGAATTAACTGTTGCTTTTAATTGCTTTATTACTCCCCCTTTGATTGAGTAAGTCTCAAGGTGTATCTCTAGGGGGAGGTGGGGTAAACAAATTTTCTCGCTTATCCAGGTATTCCTTTGACTATTTGTCACTTTTATTTGCTTGACCACTACCCAGGGGCACCACACTAAAATATTCATAAAATATCTGTATAGCTGTTTATCTGTTTACCCCCCTTTACCTGAAGGATAGGTGGTTATACTTCGATTAGATATTTAATAAATCTTCCTGTACTTAAGCTTGTACTCAATGAAAAGGGAATTTGTTATAAAATGATTTGTTTCATGATGAAGTTGTATTATCACACTAAAAATATTAAAACATTGGATGAAATATTTTAAACTTTACACTTTCTACTTAATATAAATATATATATTTCTTGGGGGGATTGTCGGGGGGGGGGATTGTCCTCGAATCATATCTACAGGGTTACTACTTAATATATTGGCGAGAAAATTTTACAACTACTTTAAATCCAAAACTGAGGTGTCACCCCATGAGTAGCAAGGTGTGTTACCTAATTACCACACAAATGTCTAAACAATTGATGCATGCAGTTGCATGTTCTGTGGTCATAAATGTGAGGGGTGGTCTTTTCAGCAATTTCTGCCCTTGTGTAAAAACGTATGGGTTTGGCCAATCTTTGAAATGTATTTAGAGAAGCAACAAAGAGATCGCTCTGAAACTTGACAGGTACCTTAGGGAAGATATGGTTCGACAGCTAAACAATGCAGCTTACTATGGGATTTTTGCTCTCAGAAAAATGGCCAGAAACGGACAGCCATTGCCAGGCAATGCAAAATTTATCAGGAACCGTTAGTAAAGTCATCCCAAGAAATGCTACAACAGGGGCACCTACTCTAATACCTCGACCAGGGTGTCCGCGTATCACACCAAGAAGACAGGATTGGCTTCTCCTTAGAGTGCGCCGTGCTGGTCGTACAAAGACAACCAGTGTCCTCAGAAAAGAGTGGCAGAATGCCATTCAATCGCCCGTTTCAAGGTCCCTCGTGAACAAGAGATTTCTGCAAGTCGACTATTTTGCACGAAGACCAGTAGGTAAACCACTGTTAACAGCAGGTCATATACAGCGACGTCTGCAATGGGCTGGGGACCACGTGCGTTTCCAGCCA